AGTTCACGTATTGCGTGCATTGAATGGCTGCATGATTGAGCAGCGAATTTGTATTCGTTTTTGTGTACAAATTTACTGCGTATTGCCAGTTACACACTGCAGCTGCATGTGCGAACGCCTAGGGTACATATTTCTAATTTCGAAGGCATACCGTGCTAAAAATTCCTAATTCTTATTTTCAAATGTTGGCAGGTATGTAGTCATGGTTACTTCCCTACAGTCATGGGTGTGGCTAGTATATCCATACTATTAAATTTGAGTTCATTCTATATCATGATTATACAGCCAGTTGATAGAGAAAACTGTAATTTCTTAATTGTGCCCTGTGCAAGTTATCATTTATTCTCTGAAGATGCGCCTTGTACATTATGTGGAATCTTATATCTCATCTCGTGGTGCCCTTATTTCCATAACTCTTGATGTAAGCTGTTAGTATCTCAGAACGAAAGAAGGCTGACTGCCATCCTCATGTCCTGGAGAATTAAGAGAGTAATGTGGCGCCATGTATTAGGATACGTTAATCACCATTTACTTTTCCTCTCTATTTTTTATACATCTTCATGCCAACTGGCAGGATTATTGCATCCAGAGATTTCTTTTCTCTGAGACTCTGAGTGCAAATATTAAAAGCAAATATTTGCAGGTTGTCTTTCTCCTTTCTTTCATTCTCATCCTGATATAACTTTCATTTCATATCTATCTGAACTCTCGTTTTATATCTTTTTGTATTTCTCTTCATATCTCTTTTTCTAGTATTATATAAACGTACGTTTGCATTTACTCTCTTGTTCTAATTTATATCTCAATTCTCAATATCATTTACTCCACCCCTCTCTTTCAATCTAGCCCCTTTATTTTGTGTCTCCCCCTTCTTTCTCTCTCACTCTCTCTCTCTCTCTCTCTCTCTTGCTTTCTTGTTTTATTTTTTTTTTTCTCCTGACCTTTCACTTCAAGTATTCATTGTTTTTCTCTTGTTGAATACACCCCCTCTCTACCTCTTTCTCTCTATTCTCACATTCATTCTTCATCTTCATATCATATCACGATCAAATGGATAGTCACAGCTGAGCATCTTGACATACATGTACATGTATTCACCCATCCCTCTGTTTCTGAATGTTCTATATTAATATGCGGTATTACCATTTTTTGTTCTTTCAGGCTTTATATCATTTTTTTCAATTCAATGATAAGTAGGACTGTATTATGAGAGGATTTAATTTCTCTATATCCCTATATACTGACCCAGATTATTTTGAACTCATTTGTTAAGAACGTTTGTACTAAATGATAAGATTTCATCAGTTTGAAATTTGAACGACAAACCAATACAAATTAAATACTATTCTTGTTGTACCAGCTAGTTTGTTTTAAGTACGGTACATAACCTCTTTTGAAAATTATTGTCTTTATACATGTGGGTCAGTCAGTTAACTGGAACATGTTAAATCTGACGAAGTTTCATCATCACTGCTTTAGTGGAGAAATTATGTCCTAAGCCGTTTTAATGCTGCGTATCTTAGCATGGCAGACATTTCTAGCACAAATGACGTCAACTATTTGGATGCGTGAACTACATCTTTGTCATGGTGAAACAAGAGAATGACAAGGAAATTGGGAGTGAAATGTAAATTGTCATAGTAATATCCGCAATAACAAAACGTTAACCAAAAGGTTGTTCACTATCCTCCAAAAGACAAGGGGAATCGGACTCCTGGCCAAAGTAAATCTTCCAGCATGGATCCTGTTGATTAGCATATTTGCCAGGGGCCTCCTGAAAACATGGCCAACTCCAAGTAGTCTGTAAATGCAGACTCTAATTTTAACTCTTGAATACAATTCTAGAAAGCCTTGAGACTAGCCTGACTCTTGTCAGTCTCTGACTGTGTCTAAGAGCTTTAAAGGCCCACTACACTACTTGTAGCTACTTGTGCCCTCTATATAACAAACAATGCCTAATCGGTGACCATTGGTCCCCCATGATCCTCTTTTTCTTATGTTAACTGAGAGCTGAGTTGATGAGATAACCACCTGTCCAGTGACCTTGCAGGGCGCTCTAATCCCTCCTGTTAACTACGGCAGATAAGCTTTAAGTCCACAGCCTATAGAGTGCAGTAGATCATGCAATCTGCATAGTCTTAAAGTTCAGACACTCTCTTACATTCTTTGACTGACAAGGGTTTGTGTCTACAGACTAAGCTCTACAATGCACATTCACCCTGGCTGGCTAGCTGACCTGGGAATTTAGACAAGTGCAGGAAAAGGGAGTAAGATGAAAGGAGAAATTGGAGAAATTAAGTAGAGCAGAAGTAATAGCGGAGGCAGGCGAACATTGAATATTCCAATAGCTTTGAGATGGAAAGAGATGAATAGATGCCCCAGCTTCAGAATGGTCTATGATAACCATCAGCTGCCCTGTTAGCCTCCATCCAGACACTCATTGTCTCTGTTTCACCCAATAAATTTAGAGTTATTTCCCTGGTTTCACCATGCAGTCAACAATAAGAAAGGAGGGAGTCTCAGGGGGTAATATGTCCAATGAACTTTTGTTATTAAAAGCTTGTAGTAAACATTCAAGCATAGGAATGTGAGAGTATCATTTAAACATCTCTAATCATGCAAGAACTGTAAACGATTAATTCAGCTGTGTCTGAAGACCAGGCTAGTGTGAAGACAGCGTGTCATCAGAGATCCTACACTAGATGTATTTTCTCTTCTTAATTTGTCAGCATATTATTGATTGGTCATACATGTAAATTGTTACAAAAAGATTGCCTGTATAAATGCAGGCTATTCATTTGCATGAATGATATTAGACTGGATTTTGAATAAGGGGCTGGTGGTGCTTGTAGGCCTAGGCCATTGGAAATCGAGATGATTACCAGTCGGGATGATTACTGAAACAAATTAGTCAATATTAGGTTCAAAGCTGACAAAAGAATAAAAGAAAAAAATCAACACCTTCCCTCCTTAAAGATCTATCCAAATGCTTGTGCTTTCTTATATATCTTTTTAATGTGTGCTTATTGCTAGGGAGAATGGTCATATTTTCTCTGTACATGTATTGTAGGCCTACATCATGTCTCTCAAATCTTAAAAGCATTTAAAGGGAAAGTCCACCCTGAAATTAAGTTAGTTTTAATAGGAGTAGAAAAATGAGAGAAACAAGTCAGTGAAAGTTTGAGCAAATTCCGATTAAAAATAAGGAAGTTAGGATTTTTGAAGTTGTGATCAATCAAACACAATTGGCAACTCTATGACGTATCATGCGAGCTCAACTTCCATTTGCTCAGTACTAAAAAATCTAAAATTTTCATTTTCCCTCAAGAAAAATTTCAACCATACATGCACCCTAAATATAATAATTGCAAATATGTTTCTATACTCCCCCTGCAAGGAACAAATATATATTCCGTCATCAATAACAAAGAAAACATGATTTTATGGAATATCATGCACAAAGCAAATGAAGGAGAGCTTGTATGATAAGTCACAGAGTTGCCAATTTGTATTTGATTGATCACAACTTCAATAATTCATAACTTTCTTATTTTCATTCAGAATTTGCTCAAACTTTCGCTCACCTGATTTTCTTATTATTCTGCCTCTATCGAAACAAACTTATTTTGGGGGTGGACTTTCCCTTTAATATTGCTCACAGAATCATTGGGTTCCCCCAAATTGGTTGTTGCCTGTTGGTGGCATTTAAAAAATCTAACAGCCTTTTCACACACGGCTAAAATTCTATAAACATGATTAGTATAAAAGTGTTTAAACTAATCACCTGAACATACGACATCATTCACACACAGAAATTTCGGTGCGATCGTTAATCGTTTCGTGATTAACTACTGCTCGTAAAATGCGCAGTAGTGCCATTGCGCATTGAAGGTCATGTCACATCAATCAAAGCGCACACTCCATCCAGTTTAAACACGTCTGAAACACGTTTAAACACGAATAACCTTTCACACACAAAATGTCAAGCTCACTAGATACGAACTTCGTATCTGCAGCCTGCTTTTAGGGGCGTATGCATCGCGACTTCGTATCTATCCCAACATCGTATAAACGATGTTCACACTGGGAAAATTTTCTATAAACATGTTTAAAACTGTTAAGTTAAACACGTTTATACTAATCATCTCTGGATACAATGAATTTTAGCTGTGTGTGAAAAGGCTGTATACAGTTGTATCTCATCCAGCATGCCTGCATTCAGATCATCTGGCTTTGGCATTGCTTTATAATGATTTAACAAGAACCCAATGGGAACATTATCACATGAATGTCATGATGTTTGTGTGGGCCAATTTATCATTTACATTGTAAGTATGAGTGTGAGCACTGTGGTATAAGCTCTTGACAATAGGAGAGATCCTGGTTTCAATACTCACTCACTGCTCTCTTCCTTGGACAAGTTCTTGTGCCCATATCTGTCCCTTTATACAAGGCTTTATCAACCTTTTTACAGGTACAGTCACAGCAGCCTTTTGAGAAATAAATAGTTTTGCATCACTGTCCCAAATTCATTAAGGAAGTGCCATGTATATACATGTACGAACACATTTTGTTTCTAAAATTTGCGAGCGAGCAAAAAAATGACATTTTTAGTACAATTTTTGTTTTGTAATAGGGGGAGCGGTCTGTTTAGAGCTCTATGCTAAAGTGTATGATTTAACACTCTTCTGGCTCCAAACAGATGATTATGTTTTAATACATGTATGTACAGCAACTTTGTGAATGGTTATGGCATAGAATCAACTTCTTTTGTAATTTGCTCTAAAAATTATTGTAATGTTTTGATGAAAAGAAGGCTATTTTAAACTTTTTAAATGAAGTCATGAAAAATTCAAGGTTGATTTGATAATTTTCTTGAAAAGATAGAGGGAAAGACCTTATCCTGTTGTTACTGGCCGGAGGAAAAAGGTTGACTTAGGTGAGGCAACGTCCAAACTGACGTCAATGAGCTACATTTGAGCCTTGGCTATGGCCAGGCAATGGATCTTAGGTTTCCAGTGAAACAGCAGGATAAATTGTGTCCCAAAGACGCAGGCAACCTTTGCGCTGACGTCAGGCACTCCATGGCTCACAGGCCAGATGACTGGAGGAGGTAGGGAATTGCATAATGGACATATTGGAAAGGGGGGGGGGTCAACAAATGGATGTGCCCTGCCCCAGATACAGGATGGACAACCTTTCTTCTCTCTCTTCCTCTTTCCTTTCTTCTCTACACGTTATATCTTAACATTGGTATATCTCTGCAACTGCTTGTACGTGTGCCCTGCTGCAAAAAATCACAACACTATGGACAACCTTTCTTCTCTTCAATTTTATATCTTTTATTTCCTCACTAATTTATACAATTCCATTTACCCTTTGTAGATAATTTTTTACCTTTCTCTCTCTTGGTAGATGTACCTCTCGCCTTCTCCTTCTCTTCCTCGATCTCTTTCCTTTGCCCCCCCCCCCCCCCCCCCCGCTTCTATCTCCCTTTCTCTCTCATTCTCCATCGTCCTCTCTCCTTCCTTCTCTCTCTCTCCCTCTTTCTTTCTCTCTCTCTCTCTCTTTCTCTCTCTCTTCTCTCTTTCTTATCTCTCTCTCTCTCTCTTCCTTCTCTCTTCCTTCTCTCTCTTTCTCCTCTCCTCTCCCTCCCCCTCCCTCTCCCTCTCCCTCCCTCTCCCTCTCCCTCTCCCTCTCCCTCTCCCTCTGCCCTCACTCTTTTCCATTCTATACCAAATTACCATCTATCCATGCATCACAACTTCTCTCCAATTTTTGTTGTTTTTGTTTTGTGGAGCTTGTGTCTGTTCAGATGATTTACATTGTGTATAATGTCACAATGACACAAGCGAAAGATACCTCCGGGTTATGCCCCATCTCCAGAAACACTTTTCTTCTAGAATCTCTCCAACATCTTTTATTTACAGCCATTCTTTCCTACCTTACGTTCACGCAATAGACAAACTCTCGCGGCAAATCATGCATTACAGACCTTTAAAAAATTGTGAATATTTTTCCGAAAGGCACAACTCACCTGACCTTTTCATGGAATTTGTATGCTAGTAAGCCTATTCAGACAAGATGAAATTGATACTGAACCGTATATTAAAATAATCATCGAATAGCATTTTAAGGGGTATTGTATAATAATAATAAATAATAATAATAATAATAATAATAGCCTAATAGTCCACTCCAAATTTTATTAAACTGAAATGGAAATTCTTATAAAGCAACTAATTTTTGAAGAGGCCAGTTGACTACTGTATGTTTATTATCAGGTAAGATTACAGCTGACCAATCATCAGTGTGAACTCTTGATTAGCCCTGCCCAGTTATGTGATTTTCGTACAGCACAACATTCAAATTAGAAGGAGACCCTGATTGTTTATCAAGTTTTTGTTCTAAATAATGCTCAAACATCTGCTTCACTATATGACATTTGATTGTACAGTGTTCATATTAGAAACTACTTAGTGTCTTATCGTACAGCTATACAATCTTTCGATATGTGATGAATTTTCCTAGTCTGGACAGGGTTCAGGAGTGAAAGCATGAAAACACAATACATTGTACATTGTATGCAGGAAGATAAAAGCTAAAACATTTAAAGATAAAGACAATCACATGTCGTTTATCAACATGTATGAATTTCTTAAAGTGTTTTAATATGTACAGTACATGCATGTTGATAATTCATATCCTCTGGTTGGAGCCAGAAGGATGTTCACTCATCATTGTATGCAGAGTTCAAACGCACTTATGGCTCCAAACAGATGACATGTTTACATCTTGTATCAGATGAGATATGTACGTTCTATGCTTATCATGAGACTGAGTAAACATTGTAATCTGGTTATGTTATGAACTTATATAGAATCATAAAGATAAGGAGGAGGACTGTAAATGTATTTAATGACACATTAAAACACATTCATGTGATATTTACCCAGGTCTTGATAACCAAACATTATCTTGCATCTGTAAATGATTTCACAAGCAAGCTATTTAAATTCTTTTTTTGCCAATTTCATTCGAGGTGATTCCGTGCAATGATCGAGTCCGTTGTGACTTTAATCAATGTATCTCATCAATGAATGGAAGATCTCTTGTTGTGACTAATGGTAGTGATACCAGAAAGTAGAATTATGAGATTCTTTGTTTGAGGGTGAATTTTTTGTTAAAAAGACATACATGTATGTTGAATGGGACACATTTCACAGAACTCTTCTGCTATGTATTTTGCTCTTCCCTTCTTTTCCCCCTGCCTTCTTTGTACATGTATTCCTGCAAGTATTGTGATTTTAGAATTTCCCTGAAACCATATCCAGAATTGCATCGTCACTTGAATCACAATTTACTTTCAGATAATTTTGGATAACGGTTCCCTCTAAACTAGCATTTTGCTTTATACATTCTAAAAATATTTAAAAAATGCAGAATTGGAAAATTTTTATTCATATTTGATTTTGTCTCATTCTTGAATTACAGACAGACGATGTTGAAAGAAAAGGCTCTCATAAGAGGTCATCATCATGGGGAAGTGCAGACAACTTGAAAGAGGTAAGTTTACTTTAGAGACTAGTATATGCCAGCATAGTAGGAGCTGGGGTTTCCCCCCTCCCCCTGGAAACACCACTGATGTTTGATGTAATATGCAGTCTCTTTCAGTTTTATATCCCTTATTGTGTATTCAATAACCTACATGTACTACTATGGCCGAAAAGATGATAATCTTTGGCAATCAATCTATACAAATTGTTATATTCCTAAAATATACTTTAGTCTTGGCAAGACAAATCATACATTTCAGGTGAGAATCTGACAGTAGATATTTAACAATCCTGGCGTTAATAAGTATAGCCTTGAGCCAATGGGCAAGAATTTGCATGTGTATCTTTGTAGTGGTGCAGAGAGCTATTCTATCTCACCTCTATATAAATCATTAGCTACATGTATGTTCACACGGTACCATCATGGTTTGAAAATGTAGTGAAAAGTGTGCGAGACCTCAAAGTTTTCAGCAACGAACGGCTATTAACAAGGACATGGGTTTACAACTTTACACAGGACCGAAACAAGTATTCACAGTTTGAATGAGGTTCATACAATAGTCTGTTATTATAACTATAAGTTTAAGTTGTGGCTTTTAACTTTAAAGTTATCTGCAGTTAGGGTACTTTGTAGACATACTCCTGGTTACAAAACTTTACTCAAAATTATTATAAACATGAGCAATCTTAAGGTAAGCGCCATATCTACGAGCAGTAGAGAGGACATGGGTCTTTGCTATGTGCCATGTGAACGCTATATACCTTGAGGTTACTTTAGCTTGTACGTGTAGTTAAAATGAATGCTTTCCCAGCTTGTAAATTCATTGTTTTATACCTGTATGAGTCCTTGTCATTGTTATTGGATTGTTGTTTGTAAATGTAACTTTGAGGTTTTGCAAAGTTAAAGTTTAAAACTACAACGGTTCTGTATGAACATAGTTATTATCTTGATTGTGATGCACCTTAAAAGTGCAACAGTGTGAAGTATACATGTACATACAGTACAAGGAGATGTTTATATGATAAAGTGCCAGTACATGTAGATTATGTTTCTTCAGAAGTGTAGGATTAGGTTACCTCATCTACAATATTGCTGTGTACATACATGTTTGTAGGCCTATTTATATCAAGTGATAGATTTAGATGTACTGTACACATAACAAAGAAAAGCCCACAGTACACGTGGCTTCTTGTAAAGAAAAAATTACATGTAACTGCAAGCTTTCTTCTTCTTTTTACATCATTTTGGAATAATATCATTGTACAAATCAGGCCTGATAAAAACCCGATTTAAATCGGTTTCCCGATTTTTTTTTCTTTTTCCTGATTTTTTCCCGATTTTTTTTTTTTCTTCCCGATTTAAAAAAAATCCAGATTTTTTTTTTTTTTTTGCCAATTTTTTTTTCTTCTCTATTTTATCCAGATTTTCCCGATTTCCCTCTTATTTTCTCTATTCTTCCCAATCTTGCCCTATTTTTTCCCCAATTTTGTCCCTATTTTCTTACTCGAAAGGGGGGAATGTTAAATGCCATTTTTTCCCCGCGAATCCTCTTTTTTTTTTTTTACTCAAGGGGGGCGTGGTTGAGGGGAAAACAAAAAACCTATTTTTTTTTTAGTGCTCACTATCACCCCTGACAAATGCCCCCTGAATAGAAACCTGCTTAACAACCCTCATATTGGATATACACGTAGGACGAGACGTAACAAAAAGTTTACATGTAAGGAATATTGTACAGTATGTGTATTCACATACCCATTTCACGAGAAATGAGTTCTTTTTTAAAGATCATGGCATTATGCCACATACATGTACATGTACCGTAATTAACGGTGTATTAACCACACTTTTTTGCCGCCGTAAAAAAATTCAAAGTCGGGGGTGCGTCTTAAACACGGTACACACAAAACAACAAAAAAAGTTTCGATTTATGCCCCTCCACCTGGCGCTATGCCTGGCAATGTCTCCCAGCTCAGTTATCGGTGTGTTGATTCACCACTCAAATTTGTCTGTCATCTTGGTTTGAAAGTAATCTTTCTGATAGATCTCAATATGTAGTTTATAATAATAATTTTTCTTCTATTACACGGCGTACCACAAGGTTCTATCCTAGGTACTGTACTGTTTTTAATTTACATTAATGATCTTACACATTCTTCTAAAAAACGACATTGTTACTATTATTTGTGACAAGTTCACAAGCACAAATCGGCGCCTCCAACTGCATCTCGATGTTAAATGAAAGTCCTTCCCTGCGTGGGTTTTTGACAACAACAAAAATACACAGGTGCGTCTTGTACACAGATATTTACGGTATTATTTTTATTCGACACTTTAAAATATTTATTTGAAATTATTAATTGATTTAATTCGTATAAACGCCTGATCTGCTAGACTACGTAAAAACTAGTCTCATTTAATTTGTAATCTGTTTCTATTTTGATTATTTAAATTTAAACAACTAAAATTTCTAGTCCTTAAATTCTATTAAAACAACTGATGTGGAAGACTACGATAGTCAATGCACCCTTTCGGCCGAACGGGGGGGGGGGGGCTTTGGACGAAAGGTTGCGTTCAAGTCACCGAGACGAGACGAGACGCGACGCTACCCACCCTTTCGGTATACGTCGTATGCATGAGCCTTATGTTAAAATTGTAGGGGTCCAAACTTAGATTTCGGGCGCCCATGTGTCCTAAGCGCCTGTTAGTGTCGAGCCCTGTGTTGTAGGACGATATTCCCTCCCGTTCATAAACATAGTAAAGGTGTTGAGACTTGGAAACATGCCCTTATATAATTTTACTGTAAATGATATGAGGCCATTATGCCTGTTTTCATCAGCTCGAGTTTGCCAAATATTTCCCCAAGATTTCTTGGGATATTTTCTTGACCAAATATCCCGCTATTTGCAACTGGGGGCTGATGAAGACGCAAATTAACTGGTTAGTTTGCGATCGGGATAGTTAAAATAACGAGTTATTGGCTGGCCAAACTCGAGCTGATGAAGACAGGCATATTGAGACAAACATGTCTTTGATATATTGAATGAGAAGAAATTTGAATGGGCATTATTTGTAATCTACCATGAAAATATATGCACAGTAAAAAGGGATTGAGGGACATATTTATACATATAGATTATTTTGCAATTCTGAACAATAAATTACATGTACATGCAAGGATATATTGGTCATTTTATCAGAGATTTTGGTAAACCAAGAAGTTCTATTTTTAAGCCTTCATTCCCAAATGCAGGCAAGACATGTGTTGAGTTGTTTGTACAGTGAACGTGCATTCTGACTGCAACCTGTTCGAGGGTGCATGTGTTTTGTAAGCTGTACATGTGCATGCCCTTCCATACTTTGCAAATTACACGGGGAGTATCGAATTCGCAGAACGGTTACTAAATTCATCCAAATGATGGACGGCGAGTAAGTCGGCATCTCCGGTCTCGAGTCATGTTTCCCAATAGCCTGTTCAGATGAGAGAAATTTATACAAAACTATAAAGACACTTTGTGTAAAGAATCAATGTATAGCAAAAGGGGAACACAGACTGAAAAACAAGGTCATATGAAGAAATATTATTAAGAAACTAGTGGTGGTGGTGGTGGTTATTTTACCTGACTGCTAAATAAGGCTTAAATGCTTGTTAGTAAGCAACCAGACCGCCGAGAGACCTGGTAATGAGGACTAACGCCTTACCAAAGGGCACTAGCACATCGCCTTGGTTTCGAACCCGGGTCACCGGATTACGAGACCACTGCTCTACCGCCTAAGCTATCGCGCCTCTTTGAAGAGGTACATGTTGTAAGATGCGTCGCCAGACTGTCGATCACAAGGTCTGCGGTTCGAGTCCTGTTGCAGCACTTATATCCTTTGGCAAGACATTGATCTACATTTGCCACACTCCACCTAGGTGAAGTAAATGGGTACCTGGTATGAATTTATTCCTTGAAACGCAGCGCACGTAACAGCTGCACTGCTAAAGCCAGGGTAATTATGCTGCATTATTGTAGACCGCTTAGAGACTTCTGATAAAGAAGTGTTAGGCGCTATATATATAAAGCAAATATAATTATTATTATTATATGATTTTTCTTTGCTCCAACTTTCTGAATTCAGACGAGATAAGGACCCTGACTGTTTATCAAAATTTAGTTCAAAATGATGCTCAAATGTGTGTTTCACTTATGACAACATGACTGTTCATATCATACGACTGTCAGACAAGAACGGGACCCCTTTCAAATTGATGCTCAAACATGCATTTTGCTGTACGATGTGCCTTTTACATTCAGACTAGAAAAAGAGTAATTAAGCCCTACTGATATCATTTTCGTATAGCCACATGATGAATTTATGTATTCTGAATGGGGGGTAGGTCCAAATAGTGCACATCGCACGTTCCTTCTGTCAGAACATATCCCGAGAACTCTTCACTTTCATGAGCGGCTCGAAATCTAATCTTGCTAGCATGCTCAGCAAGCTGCTCTTATAATTTGATTGCTTGGTGGCATGGCATGGCAGCGTAGGGCTGCTATGGGAGGAATGACGGGGAGGGTCGGGAGGGTAAATGCATGGAGGGAATTTAATTTTTGATATATTGACCACATGCTTAAATTTGAATTATCTACATATCATTGCTTATGATGATTCCACCCCTGACATAAATTTATACCTGTAACCCATGTAGTGCAAATACTCCAGAAACAAAATACCCCTCACCAAAGGGCTCTTATTTTATACTTTGCCATAATTCCTAAAGCATATTGAGCAGAGCCTAGCTCTGTCAGTTTCTGGCTAGAGCAGCTGAAGCTGGTACGGAGCCTATAGATGCATGCTGTCAGTCTAGTCTCACATTGCACATACTTTTACGCACAGAGAGGCTGTTCACACTGCAATGAGATAGCGCGGTCTATCGTAGCACCCCCTTTTTTCTAGCGCGCGCTAGACCGCGCTATCTCTTGTGGACCACCCCCAAGAGGTGCTCCAGTGGCACGCCGTTTTGGCTCGCCATGGCTCGCTGTTGGGCAGACCGAAACGACGTTGTACCTTCCAAACCGCAGAGATAGCGCGGTCTAGCGCGCGCTATCTCTGCCGGTGTGAACAGCCTCAGAGACTGACAAGAGTTTGTCAGTCTAGCCCCCTCCCCTCAACATTTAGGTACATGTTATATGTACAATGTAGCTATATAATGGAGGATGGAATTTGTTGCTTTTAGTGAACACTGGAGGCCTGCACGCCATTGTCCCTTCATGTACCGGTACATGTATTCTCTTTCAATTCACACAAATATGAATTGAAAGGAATATATTGTAGGCTACATGTATGTATGTTGCATATGAACATATGAAACATTGTTGCTACATGTACTCATGTTGATTTACTAATACACTGCTGTGCTAGGATAAGGAAATAAGTGATAATTCACATCTATATTGTGAAATTAAAAGGGAAGGAAGAATTGAACAATGTAATCTACCCATAACTTTACAGATGTACATGTATCTCTTTTTAGTGTTTGGCGAGAGGGGGGGGGGGGACCTTGATTTAGTCACTTGAGCTGTACCCGTAAATACCGGTACAATTCAATCTGCCTTAGCGGCTACCCCTTTATAAAGACCACCTGTCTATAATGGTCACATATATATTGTCTTCCTCTATTTAAAGAAGAAACGTGTGTTGTAGAACCTGTCTGGAAAGGCCCCCTGCCTACATGTACCTTGGTCACTTTTCTTGTTTCCCTTGGGTAGCCCAAACAGACAGGTTTGACTGTACTTCATCAAAGATCAAAGATCTTCTCGCAATGAAGCATGCATGATGAGAGCTTAGTGAAACCTTGAGAATTCTTACAAACAAAAGCAGCAGGTTCCAAGCTCGATTGAAGCAGGGAAGTACAGAGTTTGAAGGCAGCTTTGTGTGCAAGGATCTCACATTTGCTCTGCCAATAATTTCACTAGACTTTATTTCGTTAATGAAACATTGTAGGATTAGGGTCGCAATTTTGTTGTAAGTGAGGTTAGGGTAAGGGTTCGATATAGTGTTTGGTCCAGGGTTGAAGTTAAGACTTTGTTGGTTTACGAAATCAACTTCAGAGCATTGTTGCTTGAAGCATGCATTATAGAACCCATAAGGGCTAATCCAAATACAATGCAGTAAACCACTGCAAAAAAGCCACTACGTTTTTGTTCTAAAGTGTAAATGAATGGCAACTGCGCACAACAAAGGTCGTGCATATATTCATAGAGCTCTGTGTTATAAGATACAGATATGTGAAACATAATACACAATTCAGTTTTGCTTTGTGTATCGGAACGAGGCTGAACAGTTCAGACTACATGTACTTTATGTTTCCATGTGCAGATATCAAAATCCGGTAATATATTTTTATCTTGTTTTTTTATTACCGGGTATTTGAACAAAATCTGTTGTACCGTACGCAGAATAATGACTGGTTGCCACTAAAACCAACAAACAACAATCATTGCAACAACATACATGTATGGACAGAGACAATCTCGGCCGGGCTAGGCTATTTTCAAAATACTTTCTAGTAATTTGTACATGTACATGTAAAAAATACCTTATAAACTTACAACACATTAGTCCTAAATGTACATGTTGGTCCATATTTGGCAAATTGAAAGTATTTATCTCTCATCTTGTTGTTTCTTACAGAAATACAAGCAGCAGCTAAGAAAACAAGGTAGTCGTCAGTCCTCTTCCAGTACGCAACGGGCCTCGCCGGTCCACGGCAACCACTCGACCGTCGCTAACCTTCCCTCGCCCGTCAGCACAACCAGCTCTTCGACGTCATCTTCAACAATCTCCATCTCCAATTCCTCATCCACTGCCTCATCACAGACTTCCATCCCCACACCACCACCACCACCACCATCATCGTCATCATCCACCACGTCGGTTTCGTCATCATTATCAACATCTTTTCAGGTAAGTTGAATACAGTTTGTATTTCTTAGAGCTTCAAAGTTTAATCTGAAATGCCTTAGGAAACACCAATATGCCTAACAATCTGCAATTTTATGGTTTCTTTGACGATGTTACCAGTTTTTGCTCATGGAGCATGAAACATGCATTGCTGAAGGAAACATCTCACAAAATCTGGTGTCCAACCTTCAAAATAGCTGATATTTAAAGAGAAGGCTGACTTCATGTAGAGATGAAAAATCATTTGTAAGCTTTGTCAGTCTTTGTACAGTGTATATCCATTTGGAATAATACTTGTATCATAGTAGAAATGTCTCATGAAAATGATTGCTCTTAAAATGCCCTCATATTGAATGCATGACAAGATACGACTGTTAAGTTTGGTCCAAACATTCACGCCACATGTACAGTGTACATGTATGTGTTACCCCATACACCTACATATACAGTGTACCTGTGTTCTTTGTGTTAGGTGCATTTGATTTTCAGCAAGATTGAGTTAATGTTTAATTATGTTGATCATTTCAAAATCTCACAGTATAATCAATGCTTATACTGCCTGATCACCATTTTCCATTTACATCCAGACAGTTTTCTTTGACAGTGTAATCACATGACTAGTACTCCACTTTCTTTTAAGGAGCTGGTTCGATCACGTAAGGCAGCTTGAATGTGGAATCCTTTCCTTGTAATATTACAAGGATTCGTTTGATGATGAAGCTCTGTGGAATTATGTTCGATTTCATGTGCAGTTTCATGCAAAGTGCCTTTAATATCCTCTTTATATTATTTTTGTTACTTGTAGGCTATCAGCAGAAAGTCAGAAGTAACTTACTGTAATCCAGTACTCTAGAGTTAATTCTCTTCTTTCCATGATACCTAACAACATTTTAATTTCCTGCAACAGGATTTCATAGTTAACATTGCATGGATGCAGTTGAAACTGAAAGTAGAAAGGAAGAGTTTACATTAAATGTATTCAAAATTACCCTAAGATTTTTTAATATAAAAAATTAATGTCTTAAACACACGTCACACACTACCTAATTCTCTATGTATTAGGCCATATACTGGCAACATGTCGACAGATCATCATTAACTGTGTGTTGTTGTTTGTTTGTTTTTTTTTTTGGGGGGGGGGGGGGCTTTCTTGTTGTAAAACTGATGTGAATCAAAAGCCCACCCTGCCACATTGTTTAGAGCATATATGGTACATGTGTACATTGTAGTTATAGACTAGACATGTAACAAGTCAATCCACTGGTTATACCATGTGTTGAGGCAAAGCTTTGCCTTGGTGAAGCATGTAAGGAGTCAAACAAAATCAATGTTGAATCACTGAACCTTTTTCCCTCTTTCTTCTGAAAGGAACATGCTCATTACTGACAGTTGATACAAGGATTTCAAATTTCTGATGCTAAAATCTCATGGATCATCTTGAATCAACGAGCTCTTTGTGTTTTGTCTCTCCAGCAGGTCTCTGTATCAACGAGTCTGATTGGTCAAGCGCACACACTTCCTCGCTCCACAGCCATTCCTGTCCCCAACCATCTGAGGGCACCCCCAGTGCCTAGGATAAGGGGTAGCGTCGAGGGTCTCAACCAGGAAGTCGAGAAGCTCGTACTCATCGGCAATGAAGAGGAGGAGAGGGTGAGTCTAATGGTGTCACCTTGCAAAAATGGTGATGATTATGTCACATACTTCTGGTGAATTCTATGAACCTTATCCTGATGGAATCATCTGAACAATGAATGACAGTGCAGAAAAAAAGCTCAAGATTTCAAGAAAGAAAGACATGTATTGCAAAAAAATACCAATATGGTACACAAAATGGTATACAAAATGATTCTTTATGAAATCAATTTTATTTTTGTAAACAGACACCAGCTGGGAACCAATTGCCCTCTGAAGGCAGTGACTGCTCAAAATGTATTTCTAAGAGCTGTACAAATGTAGATATCAATATTATAGGCAGAAGTAATTTATAGTCGCTCTCTTTCTTTCTATCTCCTCCACAGCCGACGGTCAATCCGCTACGAGAGGGTCATCGCGCTCCAATCCCCGGGGTAGCGAACATGCAGACCCAGACACCAGCCGAGAATCAGGAGCTCTCGGAGGGCAGCGATCAAGGCAGTCGCAATCATTCTGTCTCACCTACATTTGTCATGGACAACTCCCGCCCCTCCAGTCGCTCCTCCTCCACGGGTAACGGCGAAGTCAAAGTGGACAAAGGTAGGCAGCAATCCTATTCTGCATACCCCTTTCATTTATTTCCTCCATTAATACTACCGTAAGAATTTAAACAAAAAATAGGGTAACACATAAGTTACTAGCACATATCATGATCAGGTTTGGGATATTACTACTGCATCCAGATATGAATGGAGACAATCCTTAAGAACGGGCGCAGCAAGCTTTTAATCCAAGATGCCTCAGACGTGAGAAGTTAAATTAGGAGTAGGAAAGACCAGAGGCTCCACAGCAGCACAAACCCCAAACTATGACTGCCTAACATGTTGAGGTCTCTACCAGTTCAGCCATCAGAGGACACAAAGGAGGCTCCAAAACCCACTGTAGTAGTAGCTAGACATCCTCAAAATTGAGGCATCAACCATCGTGATCATGTACAAAGTTTCGCACACTTCTGATTATTTAGGTTTTACCCATTTGAATAAACTAGTTTTACAGTGAGTGTGGAATATGAAGAGCGAATCCCACTATTCCCTGTTAAAATTCGGAGTCTGAACTCGACCTTATGCTTGATTTTCATATGGAGAGAGGACAAAATGCAGGCTAATATTTTTTTAATCATCAAAATTTCATCACATTGATTAAAGTTTGCTGAAAATCTTCAGAAACAGTGAAAAGCACCGATATGCTTGCAAATTGGACTCCACAAACCTATGGCATCACACAAGCATATCACCTTAAAATTTGAACCAAGGATTTAAATCATTAATGATTATCATTTAGATGTTAGAGATTGCAAGAGCATTTAACCTTCTCTTTGCTGTGAATCCACTTATCATTAAATCCTTTGATCATTATTATTTTTATGCTCTCCACATCACATCACATCACATCACATCACATCACTCAGTCATCTAGTCAGTTTATATCACCCTACTCCTAGCTAGATTTAAAGTTTTGATCCTATTCACCCCCTTTTACAGTACTATCACTTCCCTTGAATGAATGTTTTATCACTTCTCACAATGTTTACTCCATGTACTCCCCAGGTGAGAGCTCTCGAGAGTATCATTTTGGAACCACCAAGGTCTCCTTGTCACCCAGTCATATACACTACATCCAGGCACTTTATGTTATCCTAGATTCAGGTTTTTGTTCTTATTACCCCACTGTCCCTATTCACCCTGTTTTTACAGTACCATACCTTTCCTGTAGTGATGATTTATTGCATCTCCCATCACTTTACTTTGTCAGGTGAAAGTTCTCCAGAGTACCACTTTGGAGCCACCAAGTTCTCCTCGTCACCCAGTCACAACAAGTCATGGCAGCTGACCAGAGACCCTCCAGATGGATGTGAAAGACCTCAGAAGACGAGGGACGAAATCAGGTAGGTCACGCAGTGCGGTTGATATAGATTTATAGATTATTTCTTCTTCTTCTTCCAAGAAAAGTGCTGCTTCAAGGCCTTGAAGATTGCGCACTGTGTGTGCCTGTGAGGAGCCTGTGTGAGCCTGCTGGCCAGGATCTTTGTGCATATATGTACGGAGTGGGAGTAAAAACTTTTAATCCTGTGAGGGCAGTTAGGGGTGCTTCTTCCCCAGTGAGGACTTAAATGCCTCAAGGGAGAGTGAGCAGGCTGGATCTACTGGAAGGTTGTTCCAGTCCTTGGTAGTTCTGGGGGAGAAGGAGCTGATGTAGGCTTGGCTAGTATTTGACAGCAAAGATGATATTTTCATATACAATTGAAAATATCTTGGATGCTGAAAAGAAATCTCAAAAGGCCAGGGATGAAATGAGGTACATATATAGTCTATGTAATCAAACATCAATTAAATATTGAGAAATGTGTATTTGACATTGATTTTAAGATCATGCAAATTACGAAAGTATCATTGATGCAAAAGACCACAGAAGGCAAGGGAGGTACAGCCATCTCACATCACAAATCTTATAGAATATACAGGCCCATCGGGGTGGGATGGATGCAATTGTGCACCCCCCCCCTTTTCTTTTTAGAGTAAAAGCATGCATGCCAAAAGCTGATGACCTTTATTTTTGCTTTTTGCTTGTGATAGAATTTTGGATGTGTCCCCCTCACCTATAAAAAAAAATTCTTCCTCATGCCTACATTTAAACAGTTCCGTACAGAGGTGATTTATGTTTGTAAATTGTGATAAGTGGTCGCTTCCATCTTACAGAATAAATGGAGTGTGTTCTTACCATGTACATGTATAGATGGTGATTGATAATGGGAATGTAATGAATATACACTACAAAGGGAAGAAAAAGAAACAATATTTTACTTTTTTGTTCCTCCTATCTTTTAGCGGAATCAAGGATCTAGATGAGTACAGCGCTCTACCTTACTGTCCAGACAGCAAGCTACCCTTCAAGCTAGAACAGAGCCAGAGCTCGGCCTTCTGTGCATTTGCTTCCAACTTTCCTCAGGGTAAACTTACCAGGGTCCCCTCCAACAGCGCCCAGACCCAGACGACAGGTCCCCAGACCCAGGTACAACAGGCCCAGACCCAAACAGCAGAGATTGGTGGACCCGAGACGAACGGGCATGCAGAGTAACATCTTTTGGTCCCAGGTGGCCTCTTTTAAGACCAGGCACAGAGAGCATCAGTTCTAGACCCAGACATGTAGAGTAACATCTTTAAGTTCCAGATGACCTTTTTAGATCAGGTACAGCTGGCCGAGTTGCAGTCCTAGGCATGCAGAGTTGCATCTTTTAGTTACAGATGACCCTTTTTAAGACCAGGCACAGCTGGCCGAGTTGCAGTCCTAGGCATGTAGAGTTGCATCTTTTATTTACAGATGACCTTTTTAAGACCAGGTACAGCTGGTCCAGCCCAAGTTCCAGACATGCAGAGAAAAATCTTTTCAGTCCCAGATGGCCTCTTAAAGACCAGGTATAGGTGGTCCAGTCCCAGACAGGGACCAGAAAGTAACAGGGTCCTGTAGAGCTGGATATATCCTGAGACTCTCATTTGATCTCAAGGCTAATCTTACTTCTTCATGTAATGTTTCAATTGGAACACTAGCCCTATAGCGTTGGCCCACATTAAAAGTCAAAAGGTTGTTGAGGAATAGTCTGCATTTTTAAGACCAAGTGTGTTTTGATTTCCTTGTATAGGGATGTATACCTTTCCATCATTTCTTCTTCTTCAATGTCTTCTCATGTTTTCTAAGAGATCAATATAGCAAAAACTCAACTAAATGGGTGAGACTAATCAAAAGTCATCAAGATATTTCTTGGCATGAGTCCCCAGTAAACATGCTATTAGCCAAGTCATCACCTATCTGTTGTTCAGCCTTTAAAAGACAGACAACAGCTTCATACTGTTGGTTACTAACAATTTTAGCAAAAGCCTCAAGCTCAACAAATTATCATCAAAGGCCTAAGCTATTTGATAACCCCCCCCCCCCAAAAAAAAAAAAACACACTCTAAATACATTGTTACCCCAGTTATCACAGACACAAAATTTATCAAGACAATAGCTATAATGTTGGTTCCTGCCAATCAACTAGGCCATCCATTCTACATCTTGTTTAATAATAACAGCAAGATGAGATATTTTGTTAGGGATAATGATGACAAATTAACCCCCTGTTTTAAAAGTCTTGTGTTTTGTACAAGATACTTCAGGAAACAAGGTGGGTAAAAGTAACATTTTTTTTTTATAAATATATATACTACCTTACCTGTAACTCTTTATATAAAAGAAATAATTCAAGTCTAGTAAATGATGTACTTGAGCTGAGCTATCAGTCTGATAATTCAGTTTTACATTATTATAGTCGCGGTAAGTTGGACCTCTGCAAATAATGATACAAGGTTTCATACTGATGATTGACCAAAGGCACTCTCATGTTGTTTCTTACAATGGATGTCTTTACAGAATTATTATTGAGTATATGAGTCTTGTTTCACTCATTTCCTGCCCTAACAGTCAACTCACACCGACTACATGCATCTATATGTATTTATCTGTCAATCTATTTATTAATCTATTTATCTATCAGTCTGTCTTTCTATCTAACTATCTATCTTCACATCTCTGAAAAGAAATCAGTCTATCTATTAATAGGTCTACATGACTTTCTATCTTTGTATTAGTCTTTGTTTGGAATGCAGTTTTTTTTTTCTCTCTCTCTGTAGTGATAGGGCTTATGAAATACTGTTGTACCTGACATTTTCAAAGATATTTTCAAGGACATTTTCAAAGAAACTTGCAAAATCAAATGCAAAATCTGTAACTCTTTGAAAGAAAACAAAGTAACCACTGACCACTGTTAAGAGAAATGGCATTTCTTAGAGGAGGAAGGGTGACTGTATAAATTGAAATACCGTTTTATATTGGGCAGTAGTGGGGCTTATGACATGCCATTGTACCTGGCATTTTCATCAAACTTAAGAGAGGCTAGGTATGAGGAACTGATGCAAAGCTGTATGTGTTTCTGATGACATTTTACTGTGACTCTCTCTCTCTATGGACCAATCATTCAGTATCCAATCTTCTTTTTTCTTATGCATAAATTGCTTCTCTTTTTATTTATTTTCGTCAACCTGTATTCATCTTTGATTCATAAGGTAGATTGAATATAAAGTAGTATAGCACTCTCAATCTTCTGTGTAGTGTCAGAAAAAGAGTTTTTAAATGACTTCTTGCCAGGTGAAATTTGAACTGTGTTTGCACTAGTTGTGTATGGAAAACAATATTTTATGTCTTCTACTTATCTTTGTATATATTGCAATGTTTGATTTGTTTAGAGGCTGCAATATATGTTTGCATATTTTACTTCTCCTCTCATGCTTTGACAGTTTTTGTTGTCTTAAAGCATGTCGTAATTAACGAAAAGCTGTGCGTAAAAGATTCATGTATCATTACTATTAAATTGCCTTCGATCAAGTTAGCTGTTAGCGTTTTATTCACTTTGAAATAGTGTATTACATAGCCTGATTAATGTCCTCATTAATGTTCTTCAAAAGTTTGTACATGTTTCTACAATGATCACATTTAATAAAAGATTATACATGTGGACTGATAATTCTATTTGACATGAATTTTAACTTACCGTACATATAAATCCTCCCCCTGCTTTTGCTGTTTTAAGTTGCTAGGATTTGGAGTTTATGCATATTGACAGCCATGGCTACTTGTATATGGCTAGTATTGTCTACAATAAGTACATGTCTAATTAAACTTGGTGGGCTTATCACAACGTACTTCTATACAACATAAATATATACCTAGCTTGGAATAATGTCCAGTTCAATACATACATGTATACACTTGACCTGGGGAAAATATTCCTCAGAGATGTTGGAAATACAATTAAACCTGGCCATAAAGGCCACCAAGGGAGTCAAGATGTATCCACTATAGGCAGGCAGCCTTTCTAGACAGGTTCTACAACACACATTTCTTGCTGGGAGGGTACATTACTCTCATTGCAAGATACTACAGTAGTAGAAACATTCAAACATATTGAATGCATATATGTGGAGGAATGTATAGCGCCTTATTTCATTTGTATACTGATATATAGCTCCCTAACTCCAACAAGCATGTACTTGTCAGTTATTTTTTACTGTTAATCCATAGCAGTACAGAATTTTTTAGCAGTCTAAATGATTCAGCGTCTCCTTCTCGAATTGGCATAAATCATTTGTATTTTCCACCCTTTCATATTAAAAAAAAACCTAGGAATGTATATTAAATGAACCATTGTGAATGGAAAATACAACAAAAATCCCAACAAGAAATTGCCAATTTGTATGCAAAAGTAATTATCATAAATCTCTATCTGTGTTGCTAATTTAGGGACTTAAATGATTACTTTGTTTGAATTGTTCTAATTCATGAATAGCGTTACCGGTATGTTCTTCAAGAGAAATGGACTCAGATTTTCCAGCATTTTTTGCACTAACTGCTCATGTATACTTTGTAATTCAGAGCATTTTGGATAAAAAGATAAAAAGAAAATGTTGCTAAAAGCAGAAACTAAACTGCTATGGGTTGAATACAGTATATAATTTGAATGTACAGTGGATTCTGTGTAGGAACAGGCTTAGAATTTCTTCTTGTAGCAATATTATTCATTGATCATACATACATTCATGTACACGGCGATACACATAGTTAAATTTCATATGATCTAGGAATATACAAAACAAGGACATCTGTACATTATGAACATTATTACTTATGTCCCTTTTATGGTTTCCAAGTCTTGATTGTTCCAAAGGGCATAGGCGAACATTTACATGTAGTAGATGTACTATAAAAGTTGTGAACAAAAATGTAATTGTAAACTTACTTACATATACTTTGTGGAAAATTCTTTTGTAGTGCATTGTGAAACATGGATATTTTTTAACTGTTTTTGATGTTTATCCACAGATACTCAAATTGATAAAGTTTAGTGTGGAAATGTAGTTTGATTAAGAATATCCTGTGTTTGTTAAGGTTGCACTATTTTTGACACTTTGTACAATATGTATTTGATTTTTGAATGTGAAATTGAAAATGAAGCAAAGTATAAATGCAAACAAGTTCTGACTTGAATTTGTACTTAAGTATCACCTTAAAGGACTCATCATTGAATTTTGATTTTTGTTTCAGGATAGTGAAATGGTTTCTTTGTGTTGTTTATTTGGTGCCAATTTGCAGATTGGACTTTCTCCTATGAAGTGCTGTATGATGACTTCTCTTTTCCGTCATAAGAGCACGGATCGCCCAGTTGTTTTTTGGTGGGAATATTTGTGAAAAGTATACATGCGTTCCTTCAAAAATCGATGTGTAAATTTTGATGTAGCACGTTGGTGATGAAATTTACTTGATATTTAAACGAAGACACAAATAATTGATTGAAAAAAATTATAAACTTGTAAGATATGTCTTTTATTTTGTGATAATATGATAGCATGGACTATATATAGTTGTCATGCACTAAATTGTAGTGCCTTAGACTGTGTCACGTTTTTGGAAATTTGTAGATTGCACATAGCTCACTTTCAGGTTGAATTTGTCGACTGTTTTTTTGACTACTTGTGTAGTATATATACATGTATATACACATGCAAGTAGGCCTTGTTAGTATGTCAACTTTGATATAAGAAATTTGGCATCAGTTGATAAAGCTTTGTTTCATTTGAAAATACTGAGTATAATAGAATAATGTATTTTCCCTTTATCTGCTCATCCAAACTTGGAAAAGATTTTTGCTGTAAATATGATTAGAATGAGCTCTACAATTCCAGCAAGCAGGGCATTTGTTGTTTATTTTTTTGTGTACAGGTTGCAAACTTGCGATTCATTTATTCACTTGAGCTGTACATAATTCAAATTGTATGTAAACTAGATGTACATATTGTAAACAAAAACCCATCTTTCTTTTTGAAAGCTGTTTTACGCTGTTGTTTAGATACTGAAGATTTTGTGCAGTGTTTAATAGAGAGTGAGAGAATGCCGTGGTATTATTAACAATGTTTCCTTATCTTCTGTATCTTCCCCATTTTATTCAACATATAAAGAAGAAATAATGATGATCTTTTTATGCAAATTAGCAATGCACCTGAGTTGAGCTCTCATTTATGTTGTGTACCAAAAAGCAAGAAAGTGATGGGTAATTATTTTTGTGACAAGATGATTGTTTTTGTTTTAATTCTCTCATTATCTTTTCATGCTTCTGACCATATTGTATATCTGTACAGAATTTCAGTCAAGATCTTTTTCTGTATGCGTGTTGATCAATTTATCAGTATTTTTTTTTAGTGTGTAGTTTTGTGTTGACCATATTTGGATGTTGATTTGTTTGTTTTTTGTAATAGTTGCTGTCACTTTATGTTTGATGTTTATGGAAGAGAAATGAATGCTCATTTATATACCCTAGTCACACCCAGTACAAGACTGACACCACACCAAAAATAGACTGAACAAAACAAATCATTACAATTGACCAAGAATTGGTCGGTTTTAAAGTGGTTTTGAATCTGGCAGTGTGACTGAGGCATTGGTATTGCTATGGATTTGAAATAGATGTTTCAATTCAATTTAATTCAGTTCAAATGAATAGATATCCCTGCAAAACTTAGTTTTAAACGTTTGCTCAATGCTTCTTTATCAGAAATACTCCAGTTATTATTATACCTTTGTTGTGACATACATATTATGTAATAGCATGTGGACATGTTATAATCTGTTTATGAATAACATGGTCTGTTTAGAATCAGAAGGGTGTTAACTCACATACAGAGTAAATGCCCAGGCTCCTGGCTCTGAACATACAACATGCTGTGATGGCTTGTAACAATTCAATAAACCATTGAATAGGGAGGGAACCAGGTGACTCCTCTATTAAAGCCTATGTTGTCAATGAGTTCAAATTTGACCAGCTAGTTTTCAGAGGTTTATTCATGTTGATGTATAAATCAATAATTCTGTTTATAATGAATCATTTTTTATGCCCAATATTGTTTGGTTTGGTCTGCATCAAGAAGTTCACTCATTGTCACATATTTGGGACTTATTTTTTGTGTCCTTTTTCTTGCTCAGTATTCTACAGGTTTCCTTTTTTTTTTAATGATGATTTTTTTTTTTTTTTTTTTAATATTAAAAGAGGTATTTTTGGTATTTGATCCTCTCAGTGTCGCTCCCAAATTTGTGTTAAAAAGAAGAAGAAAGCATAGATTCGTTGTTAGGATTCAAAGAGATAATTTGCTGTACAATGTACTACGATTTGAAGAAGATTTATCTTCATGATTTATTTTGTTCTTGCTAAATATTGACACCAGTTTATATGAGTACCGGTTCTTCTAGTATAGCAGATGATGTTTATCATATGTTTATCTTTACTGATTTTTTTTTTCAACAAGGAAATATCAATGTATAATCGATGGAAGAAGAAAAAAAATACATATTAGAGTATTCACTCAAAAAGCATAAATAAACCTGAACAAAAACACATAAAAATAGATCATTGCAGTAGGTTGTCATCATTTCACACAAAAGAGTACCTTTTTGATTTAAATTTGAAATTAGCAGCCAGTCTTTGCTTGCATGTTAACTATAATGATGACAATCCAATCAAACAAAAGATATCAATATATTCATATCCTGAGACTCAAAATATATGGCAACTTGTAAAATGCTTTGAAAGCTAATCTTAATTTCTGGTAATGGAGTTTTATAAAAATAAAAAAAAACTGGCGTATATTATTTCTGAATTATCTTGCAGTACATGTAGCTGGGTTATTTAGTCATGCAAAAGTACAAGCAAACTATAAACAAATTCCTAAAACCATTCTGAGAAATGTTTTTCATGGTTGCAGACACATGCAGGAAATCAGTAGAGGACAAAATTCAATAACTTATTAATTTGTCTATTGAAATTATAAGGTTATTTTAATGTATTGTTTGACTAGATATTCTGGAAGTTTTTTCATTATGATGTGTTTAATAGAGATGTCCCCTCTGTTTCCATTTTGTTTTTTATGTGAAATGTTACAGCTTGGAAATGATTTAATATAGGTAAGCTAATGATTTGCAAGCAATTATATAAAACTATACAATTTGTACAATTTTAAGATGCAACATATGTCAGTTGTTAAAGAAATTGTCAGTCGTGTTAAAAATATTCTACAATACATTGTCTTAATAGTTCATTAAAATAAAGTAACACAGTTTTAGTTTTCAACTTTTAGAATGACAAGAGTACATGTAATAGGAGATTTCCCGATATAACACTGGTTAAGTGACAATTCCTCTTTATTCTTTTTTTTCTATGTTTGAAACAGATTTTCCTGAGACTAAACAGTTGAGAATTGTGTCTAAATGATGTTAAAAAATTACTGGTCAAGTCAGGTTACTTTCAGTTAAAATCAATGAACTTTCTGGTTATGATAATGACTTATTTATTTTTATTGTGCAGAACAGTACCCTGCACATGCTCAACAATTCAAACATCTTTCTCCTATTAAAGTGAATAAATGCAGTGTTTGCAAAAGTGACTTTGTTTACATCTCAATTGACTTGATATCTGCCTGTATTCAAGGGCGCTCCTACCCTTGTAAATTAGTTCAAGTGTATGGAAGCAGGATAAAAGATAAACACAATGGTGAAATTTTAAATGATCGGACTGTTTCAAATGTGAGATTTCTAAATCTATGCAAATTTCAAATTGACAGATGGATTATGACGTAGTCGTATATAACTCTCCTGGTTGTCGTGTGATTGGTCAGTGGATTATGACGTAGTCACATATAACTCTCCTGGTTGTCGTGTGATTGGTCAGTGGATTATGACGTAGTCGCATATAACTCTCCTGGTTGTCGTGTGATGTGCAAAATTTGTTATCAAAATGAAAGTTGCCCGCCATTACATCGCAGACACGATTCAGCCAATTTAAAGAGCCCATACCTGTAGTGATTACAACTTTTAAAAAATCATAACTTTTTACTTTCATGTCCAATTTCATTCAAATTGTTACCAGTCTACTTCTCCGATTTTTCTACTTTCCTCTAGACTATTTTGCTGTCAAAGTTATGTTTCCCTTTAAATATCTGTACTTTCTTCAAAGACTTCAAAGTTGAGTTCTGGTCATGTATTAAAAAGTGAAGGAAATGGTGTGGAATCGATCAGAAAAATTTATCATGTAGCATATAAGTATTGGTGTGTACTGCAAGGTTCTGGAATCATCAAAATGATAAGAAATTTGGCCCGGTCTTGTAAAAGTAACAAGCACTGAACACAGAAAAATGTATATGGAACTACACAAAAATGTGGTCCTCATTTTTAAGCCGTTACATGTCATATTTAGAATATGAAGGCATTTGAAGAACCATGCTTGTCAGGGAACATTTTTTCACAAATGTTCTTCCACACTTCCATAATAACAATGAAAACGCTCATAAATTATTTTTCATCTCTCCCCAGAACTCTCTTTAATATCTTGTGAAATTTTCAATCAATTTTCTTATTTTTTGTTTCAAATTGCTTTAGAAATGTGAAAATCCAGATTTGCAGATATTTCAACTGGAGACAGAATGTGTGTGTGAGAGAGAGAGACAGACAGACAGAGAGAGAGAGAGGGGGGTGTAAGCTAGACTATTCCAATGTGTATATTACTATAGAATTGCAGGCCCAACGATACATGTTTACAATGGTTTGTGGGTGCAAACTCGTGATGTACAGGCTGAATGGGAGGGAATAGTCTTCAATTATCAATAGTACACATTGTTATTACATATTTATTTACACAATATTGCTTTGAGCCAAGCCCAAACTAGGTTGAGAGTTGTGGTCAAAAACAGTGATCTGTCATGTGCTCTGATAACGAGAATTGTTTTAGGCTTTATTTCTCAAAGATATAGGATTAGGGATTGTATTGTGATTATGTTTATTCCTAGAGTTTAACAGTGTTAGTTATAATGTTGGGCCGAGGGTTGAAGTTAGGAATACCGATAGTACATGAAACTGACCATCAAATTATTATTGTTGTACCAACTCTACAAACATGTAGAGTGCTCTACTAGCCCTGCAATAAGTAAGTGTAGATTCTTCTACATTATTTTGTGGCTACAGCTAAACAATGTTCATTAGCTGATAGCCAGAAAGGCATTAACTCTTATTATTTCAATGCCCTTCTGGCTTCCACATAATGATTTATTGGACTTTTCTCTGCTGTAGGTTTGGGGGATGAGTAGTTTTGAAAGGGTGCAGGGTTACCAATAAATAGATGAGGTTGGTGTAAGAGACTGAAAGAAATCAATATATTTCAAGGAGATTTAGTTGGTGAGTTGAAAAGAGTGCAGTGGTAGATGTGTGTAAGAGCGGGTGGGGAGAAACAGAGACAGAGAGCATAACAGACATTGGTTCAACATGAATCAAGAGGAAAGGGAATTGAATTTTCGATTAGATTGGAACAGAAGCTGGTGAGAGGGGAGGTCAGGAGTAAAAGGGAAAAAGGATGAAGATTGAAAAGCTATGGCCTGTGAGATGCTGCAGAGAACCGAGTCAAAGAAATTAAATGTGTATGAAAGAGCAATAGAATGAAAAATTAAATTAGAACACTGGGATAGAAGGGAAAAAAGAGTTGGAGAGAAGGAGAGAGAGAGAGAGAAAAGAGAGGGACATAAAAAATATATACAGAGTTGGAGAGAAGGGAAGAAGGAGAGAGACACAGAGAGAGAGAGAGAGAGAGAGAGAGAGAGAGAGAGAGAGAGAGAGAGAGAGAGAGAGAAAGGAGGGGGACAAGTGAGAGGGGATATGAATAAATTATGCAGATACGTTATATTGACCCCCGCTCCAAAACTAATGCTTTCTGCTATTAGCTGCGTGGAACTACAGACATAATATTCAGACAGAAGTGAGAGATCATAAGGAGTTACTGACAGCATTGTTCCATGTTATTTCAAGCGTCAAAACTGCGTTATGCCTAAACATGCATGATACAGAGAAGTGAATAGAGAATGCCCGTGTGTCAATCCAAAACGCAACAGAGCCATCTAGCTACAGGTGCCGTAACCATGGTCCCATATAAGGAGAAAATAGGCGGAGTTTCTTCGCGCGCCCGTTTTATGTAAATCGTGGGAACCGCATTTCGCATAAATGATTGGTCAAAAGATCATTCACATTATTTGCATAACAAATGGTTGATCAAGTTTCCCTACGTACACGTGTGTGTGTGTCACTTCAGCCGCTCAGTGTGTACTGTACGGAACACACACTGCATGACTGTACGCGTGCTAGCTAGCTCCCCAGCTGAGCTGCATGCTCGCTCTTCTTATTATTCTTTGCAAGGCCTTCTTCCCAAACACTGCAGTAACCAGCTCGATCAACATGCTCACAATAACGGATTTTCTCTTCAGGAAACATACATTACGCAAAGTGTTGATTTAAAAACATTTTAATTCAGTTATTTGATATTTTTATGCAGAGAATATGTCTTCTGGATCTCGATTTAGCTTTGATTTCGGTGATATTTCTAGGAGGCGTCATCACAAACTGACCCGCCAGCACTCGATGAGCGCTCTGACGGAGACTGTCGGGTGCAAAGCTGTCATGGTAGGCGATTCGCAGGCGGGTAAAAGTGCTTTGGTCAACACGTTTTTGGAGAAGGATCGTCTGATCGAGGTAGGTAGGACTGTAGGAGAAAAGTGAGAAACGAAACGAAGAGAATGAATTTACCAAGGAGAGATGTTTAAGAATAGGCCAAATTGAAGTTATTTTTAAAATAGTAAAAATAGAATTCTTGCTTGTTGTATATCCTTTTTTTTAAGGGGGGGGGGGGGGGGGGGGGGGGGGCGTGCGGTGTTTTTTTTTTTTAATTATTATTTTCAATGACATTTTTTCTGAAATTCCTTTTTGTGAAATTTCTGGGTCACAAGATAGCCTGTTTATAATGAGATACAACGGCCTTTACCATGTTCGAAAATTCCAGTTGAGATGCATCTTTTTACTTGTATGTACTGTAGCTTAGTTCTTTGTTACTGCACTCATTGTCATGTGTTTTTGAGATAGCGGCCCCAGCAATCAAGTAAGACTTTACTCTACAAAGAGGACTGTACTCAATGGAAGAAGAAGAAGAAGAAGATAAGATAAAAGAAACGGAGTGAAGAAGATACAAGAGTTTTCTGAATACTGCCTCTGGTTACTAGAGGTGTTGTGGCGTAGTGGATAAGTCGTCGGACTGTGAATCACAGGGTCCGCGGTTCGAGTCCCGCCGCGGCACTAATGTCCTTTGGCAAGACATTGATCTACACTTGCCACTCTCCACCCAGGTGTTAAATGGGTACCGGTAGGAAGGAATTTCTTGAAATGCTGTGAGCGTCGAAATCGGCAGCCTAGCATAGCCGGGTAATGTTGGAGCGCCTTGAGGACCTTGCAAGGTCGATACGTGCGCTATATAAGAATCCAATATTATTATTATTATTATTATTACTAATTGCAAATTTCAAGAAAAGTTGAATTGTTTATATCATGCAGTAGATTGGTTGCTTGGAACATTTATTACAAATTAAAAAATAAAACTACAAAATTTAAAAAAAGGATTGAAACCCTATTCTCAAGTATGGTCGAGGTGGCGAGAATTATTACTTTTTTTTGTTATGTTCCTAAATTTCCAAACACATATCTTTATTTGTTTTTTGATCATTCTGTGTAGATCTAAGTTTTATATAAATTTGTAAGATTTAATTTCCTTTCTTTTCCAGAACACATGATTTTCGTTGTTGAAAGACTTGTAATATGAAAACAGATGAAAGAATAAAAACATTTTCATAATTCAAACTCCATTTATTATCATTTTTTTTCCAGATTTACAAGCCCACAACATTTGATCGATATACCACAATACTGGATTTTGATAAACATCACATAGAACTCAATATGTGGGACACTGGAGGTAAGAAATAAGATTCTTATAAATAGGGTAAGTCTTGTTTAGAGAGGCATCATGAGTGTGAGTGCGCCCATGAAGGGGGCAAGAGCATGATGGGGAGCAGGCATACCAGTCTTTAATCAGAAAATGAAATATAAATTGACAAGGCTACTGATTAGGGGGAGGATGTGTGCATGAGGTGGTCCAGGTTTCTTGTTTTGTCATCCTGTCCCCTTCAGCCTTTCCCTTTCCTTTTTTTCTTCACCTTTCCTCACCTTTTCTCTCTTTTTATGTTTTTTGTTTTATATTTCACCATTCAATGGGGGGGGGGGAGGGGAGGTATCTCTTTCCTTTAAATCTCAACCTACATTTGTGCCTTTATAATAGATTTTTCATCTGTACTTATTTTCCTTTTTCGTTTGAATTTTCATATATATTTGATGGTGGTCCAAAATGTTCAATTAGCGAGATGCTTTTTACTCCCCCCAAAAAATCAAAGAATAGCAGCTTTCCATCATACACTCATCAGCGTAACTGGTAAGAATGGACAGAAAGCCATTTTTTCCCTTTAAGATTCAATTTAAATTGTCAGATTACGGCTTTCTGTTTATTCTTGTAATATACTGGTCTTCAAGATGAAATATTTTAGATGATATTTCGATAATTGTATTTGATTTGATCTAAAGTGTCTTCTACTTACTTTCCGATGTGTCAAGTGTCAAGTACCACTACCCCCCCCCCTACTATCTCACTTTCCCACACCAAGTTCAAACAATCAGCGGCAGGGGAAAACCTCTGTCGACATCCTTTGTGCCACCATCTTACTCCTGAGGGCAATGCTTTTAAGGTCTTTGTGTCACTCACGCTGGCAAGCATTGTGCCTGGGATGCTGAGAAGAAAAGCTTGGTGTCAGATTCTAATGGTAAAGTGCAGCAGGGAAATTCAAGAGCAACAAAGATGACTCACAAAGCATGAAAACACATTTCACTACTCCAGGCTACTACGTCTTTCCCGGGACCCTGGCGTATGGTATTGTCATGGAAATGAATGCTATGAAATAGGATCCTCTCTTAAGCTGCTCTCACTCAATTTACTGTAATTACTTAATTTATTTTCCAAATTATGAAAATGGATGATAAAAGGATTGATATCATGAAAATAGATTGCAATGGTAACAAAGGGAATCCCTCTTAGTCTCATGCCCTTTAGATAAAAGAGTTACATGATCGCTGGAGTTAGAAGGGCGTTAATTCATATACTTTAACACATAGTTAACGCCCTTCTGGTTCTGAAAAGACACATTATGTTGAATGGGAGGTAAGGAGAAGAATGATGTGAAGAAGGAGGGAATGATGATAGGAATACAGAGAGGAAAGAACCAAACATGTATGTGAATCATGGTTAACCTGTTAAAGTTTAAACCATATGGATTAATATTACATCATCTATCCATATTATGTTGTCTGTGGTACTGATATATATCATTACCGTTTTGACAAGAAAATGTTGATGTATCCTACAGCTGCTTAAAATCTGTCAAGATCTCTGATATCATCAAATTAATAACTTTTATTTTCGGTAATTAATATTTTGTTAAGTATATTCCATTCCATCCTCAGCCAGATTAACAAATCAGACCAATTAGTTGTACAATCATTTAAAATGTCAGAGGCACAAGCCATAGCAACAAATGAATACATCACTAAGATTAACAAACAAGGTCAATTAATCATTGTTCATCTATATAACTGTTAGATATGCTCCATTTATTACATTAATCATTTGGGTTGATTAACTAGGCCACAAAAGCTCACAATTATCCTATCACTTGCTCATGAATCATACATGTCGAGTGGATATGGTCGAGTGGATACGTCGCCGGACTGTCGGTCGCAAGGTCCGCAGTTCGAGTCCCGCTGCGGCACTAATGTCCTTTGGCAAGACATTGATCTACATTTGCCACACTCAACCCATGTGATGTAAATGGGTACCTGGCAGGAATTTATTCCTTGAAATGCTGGAGCGCAGTATAAACGGCTGCTAGGCTAAAGCCAGGGTAATAATAAATGTGCCTCAGAATAGAATTATCTAGATAGATGGCGCTATAGAAATGCCTATTATTATTATTATTATTATTATTACCGGATACACATTTAACACCTGGGTGGAGAGTGGCAAATGTAGATATTTATTGATGATCATATTATTTTCCTTCTATATTTGCCATTTTCCCAGGGCTGATTTTATTAACCTTTTAATTATCTCATCAAACATCTTTGGCCTTCCAACTTTTTATCAATCATCCTTGCCCTTATGTTCATTCATGCATGTGTCTGTCAAATGAGCTGTAGTTTGCTGGCAGTGTTCACATCAGAAGTTAAGATGTTTCAAACAAGCTATATACATGTATGTACATGTAGTGTGCAAACTTTGTTCACACTTGAACATTACCCTCATGTACTGTTTTCAGCGGTGCTTTCTTGTGAAAGAAACTGCCCAGAATCAAATGGGAAGTGTTGTTTCTGGAGCACATTCATTAGAGGTTTTGAAATGATCAAAATGGAGGGGGGAAATGACTGACTCTTGCTGAAAATCACCTGCACTGCACAAAGATATGGGTACACTGTATGAAACTACACACATAGGATGCATGAAAGATTGATCCAAAGATTTCAGCTATTTCTCATCATATGTTTAATATGCAGGCATTCTTAAAAGCAGTCCTTTCCTGATGTCATATTTTTCTATACTGACACAATGAAAAAGCTCACACATTCACTAGAATTCAACCTTCACTTTATAATGATAGACGTTCAATAATCTTTTGTAATTGATATTTCTGGCCTGAGCCGGAGCAGATTTTTTTTTCCCTCAAAAATTTATTGCAGATGATTTTTCAGTGATTCAACATTTTCTTGTGCCTTTATTTTGTCAAAGACATAATTAGCAAAGCTACCAACCATTCCCATTTGGGGGGTATGATTCCTATTTTTGTGCCTTCAAAGCAGAGGTATGAACCCACTGCTCCTCTCATTTTGTGAAAATATCAAGTATGTAAAATACACCATATTCCTAATTTTGGCTGTGAAGTTACAAACCGTTGCTGTAGAAGGGAGGCAAGTGTGGGTCGTAGTTCAAATTTTGTTTTAGGTTGGGTTTAGGGCTAGTGTTGAGATGAATGTAGGGTTGCAGTTTGGAAAGTGAATCATTTAACCCTTTATATGCCACAAACTAATCTCACTATGCCACATTATCATAGATATGGATAAGATATACCAAAGGCTGGCTTTAAGATTATCAAAGTGTTTCCAGTCTAACATTAATCTATGTTGGTGTTGAAATGGTTGCCATGGAGCTAATCAAGATGAGGCTAGACAAATTTTTCAAAGCCACAGTGTTGCACAAAGCAATCCTTCAGTCAATTTGTGCCTATTGTTTTGTGCAAATTACAAGTGTGGAAAATGAGCGACCATGCAGAGAGCTGAAGAAAGCAACTGAAGTGATATAAAAAAAACTAAGTTTTCAAAGGTGGCTGTATTCCAAAATGTACAGCCAACATCAGACCGAATAGCATACCCAGGGAATTTAAACCAAGCATTTCGCAATCGAGCGGTTCCCGAGAATTTCACTCATCACCACTCTCCATAATCCCATTTTTCTCTTGGCAAAGACCGTTCATGTGTTATGTGAATCTACTTATTGCGCTTGAAAGAGCAGGAGATACATAGCGAAAGCGGACGTGTGCAGCTCCTTGTGTATTTGACTCCATTCACACTGGAGAAATCATATTCTCGATGCCAAATATCTCTTAAAAGAAGCACTCTTTAAATAAATGAATGCATATACACATAATGCATGTATAAAGTGTAGTAGAAATGTTGGAGATTAGATATCAAACATTACCCTTCTACCACTGGACAAATATAGGGCAAGGAGTTTTCACAGATCAGTTTCCAAAGCCCTTTCGTTGCTAACAGAAAATGGAGCAGCCTACTTATATTGGTAGTCAGATTATATGATTTTAGTTCATTTTATTTACTCCTTTTCCATAAAAGTATGATATTGATAAGCATACAAAGTACATATGAATTCAATTATAGACAGAAAAAACGATGTAGTACGATTCTATCAATGACAAAATAGGAATTTGAAGAAGTGAAAATGATAATGGACCATTGTTGACCTGAATGGTTCTTTGGATTAGGATGTATAATTAGTGTTTTTATTTTAGAGTGTGAAGAGGGACAACAAGGAAAAAGACATCCTTCAGAGATGGGAGAGAAAGCTAAAACATACATGTAGATTCTGGTTTTCTGGTTCACCACAAATGTCATTGCTATTTGTTTAGGGGATTGAGCAAACCTATCGCAAGCTTTACATTTAGATTTACATGTATGTTCACACGGCAGGATCATAGTTTTAAATGTTAAGTTTAATAGCAAAACCTCAAGGCTTTTCACTACAACCCATGAACCATTACGACAATACAAACGTTACTGAAAATGAAGATTTCTCAAAGTTTTAAACCAAAAGCTGGGCAAGCAGTCGTAACTACAAGCTGGTTAATTACGACTACATTGCTTATAACTTCAAGTGAGGAACCGCTAGCTGTGTGTAGTTAGCATGCTAACCATGAGATCGCATGTGATGTAAAACTCAAAGTTTCTCAAACTGAATGTACATCTGTATGATCCTTACCTAGAAGATAACCTCTACGCTTAAAACCACAAGATAAACTAATAGCTTACAGTCTTTCATGTGAACTTACATGTAGCTGTAGATTCTCTATGTGTTTAGACAAGCATTAATTTGTGTTGAATGAATTCCCAAGGTTAAGCAACACCTGTCGGACGCTTATCTTCATGTCTTGTATTAGAATTGATTCCCAGGATGTACCTGTACATCTGATAACTATTGTAGCGGAAGCATCTTTGACTTTGTTTATTGGTCTTTCTTTATTATTCCAATTCTCTTGTTGCTCCAAATGCTCCGTAAAAACTGTACAAATGAAAATAGATCGAACGGATCATAAATCAACAGTTCATGAATATACATATTATGCCTGGAGAAAACCTGGTGACTCGTATCAATAATATGCACCTTACAGCTAATTAACCCCTTGTTTTAGCTCTTTTCCTTATCTCACACATTAACTTGTACTGCATATAAACTAAACACAATTCTAACTGTTTGTTACTACCAGTACATATATGCTTAATTGAATTAAGTCAGACTTCTGACATACATCCTTTGTATCACTTCTGTTCATAATTACAGCATGTATCTTTATAACTAAACCATCTATTAACTATCAATATAAACTTGCATAAATCATATAACAACTTTCTCATATTATGCACCCTAAGTACTCATCTTAGTACATTGACTCAAACTAGGCAAATCTTTGTTTACATTCTTGCATACGTGTACCTTTCATTCGCATGCCGTAGTGTACATTACATAACAATAACATTCGGTATGTGAGCCGACCGTCTCGGCTACTGTGCAATGTAAGTTACATCCATGTAATGTACACAACGAGTTAGGTGCGAATGAAAGGTACTTAATCATAGAATATCGCATCATTACAGCATTTATATACAACATTCATCACATTGCATCATTACATACCTTCATTCTGCCTTCTTAAAGTGCATCTAACTTCCACATTACACAAGGATGCCTCCAATATCAACGGATTTCATCCACTGGAAATCAAAAAGGGTGCCATTTCTTTACACGAATTTAGTAGCCTCCAGATGGCGCTAAACATAAATATAATCAATCTACTTGATCGACTTAATAAAATGAATTCACATCGATCACTGAAACATGGCTCCTTTAAATTATTCTAAAATTTACCAAACAATCGATTGACATTATCAAGGAATTACCTATCCCTTTTAACCTATTTACTGAATGTAGTTCAGCACTCTTTATGAAAATGTCTAACCTTTGCAATATCGATGACAACAATATAAATTATATATTTATATCTCTGTTTTGAGATTAATTTTCAAAACTCACATAGGGCACATGATGCACTATCTCAAACCATCAAATAAAAATTCCCCAAATAGTATTAGCTTTAAAACACATTTACGTGGGAAATACCCGTTCTATCAGCATTACTGACTCGGCTTGTATTAAATAAGTCCATACACAAGGTTTCTTCAACAGCTATATAACAAATGTATCTGGCTTGAAACAAACCTATACTGTGCTATTTACCTTACTGGATTTAACAAAATACCTTTAAATTCTTTAAACAGATTTTCGTCTCAATATGAGACCAAATGCAATTACTGATAAACACTGTTTTCATGCTTTATATAGAAATGTTATTTTACTAGTTTCACATTTACGGGTAAGCATGAATCTTAGTAGCTATGAGAAAACACAAAAAACATGGCTTATGTTTTCAAAGTAGAAATGTTCACATTTAAATAAATATCACTTCATGGTGAAAAATGCTATAAATGCAATATAACCACTATACTACCAACAAATATCTGGAATTTAGCAATTTTTAGCCAAAAAAAAAAATAAATAAATTCCCCTTTTTGGAATGTGATAGCCACTTAATCACATAAACATGGACATTTCAGTGGATTAGCATGATAAATCGATTCAGAGATTACTAGAACTGACATGTGAAAATAAATGGTTATTAGACAAATACATAACAACACATGCATACATTTAAATGCATTGCAGTTTACAATGAAAGTTTTATGTCTTTATGGAAAATTTGTCCAATTGCAATTTTCACAGTTCAATTAGTCTCAATTCAGGCAGCAGAGTCTGTAATAAATGAATTTGTATAGTCTCACGTGCAGACCCTGAAGAAGCAAACAGCCTTCGTTCTAGACCGTTTCAAATAAACGTTTCTGGGGAAAATGTAAATTAATTAGTCTTATCCACAGACCTGTTGTTTCAATAATTCCAGTCTTGACTAGAAATCTTAAAGTCTTACTTAAATAACAAGTTTAACCCTAACTAAATGGATTCCCCGCGAAATTATCAAATGTCGGGTTCCTTGGCCGGGAATTCCTCTTGGTCTTCACGCGGTAACAGAAGCACTAGTTTGTGGATAGGACGCTCCAATTCTTGAAGAGGGTTCTTACGCTTACCGCTATTACATACTCTGGAGTCCCCCACAGCGAGTTTCACTTTGCGAATGTGTCCATCTTCAGATGGAAAGACTCTGATAACACGTGCTAGTGGCCACTGGTTTCTGGGTGCATTCACGTCCTTCACAATGACAATGTCGCCGACTTCAGCTTCAGGTTGTGGGTGAGTCCACTTCCGTCGGACTTGCAGGTTCAGAAGAAATTCCTTCTTCCACCGATTCCTGAACTCCAGAACTTTATGAGATGCTGCACTCTTGGCTTGAAGAGCTGTGAAACGACGAAGTGCTTGAATGAATGATTCGTAGTCAAGCTCTAGATGACTATCTTTCTTGATTTGACGCCTTTTCTTTCTTTCAAGCAGACTCTGGTTCTTCTGGATAGATTTCAGGATCTGAATTTCATCTTCAGAGGCTTTCTTCTGATCATGCTTTAGAATTTTAATCTCTGCTAGATGAAGATCCTGCACAGTAACACCCCTTTTGGTTGTTGGGTAGTCACTTGCTTTCTTATCACGCCTGTCTTTACAATGTACTCTATTAGCGGCGTCAGTTAATCTCATGTAGGCACATTGACCATACCCTGTTGTACTTGCATCTGCGAAGTGATGATACTGTACCGACTTCACGGCCTCGAGTTCAGCAGGCTTGTAACATCTAGGGATAGAGAGTGATTGAAGTTCCAGTATGTCTATTCTCCATTTCTTCCATCTTTCTCGCAGAACATCTGGAAGCAGATCATCCCAGTCTGCTGTCAGCTTACACAATGTCTGGAGAATCTGCTTCCCTATAAGCATAACTGGTGCCAACAGTCCTAAGGGGTCATAAATAGACATGACTGTGGAAAGTATCCCTCGCCTGGTTAGGGGCTTGTCCTGAAGTGTGATTCTGAAGTTGAATGCATCGGATTTGACACACCCTTGTACACCAAGAGCTCGCTCTAGAGGTAAATCATCATGATGCAGGTTAATCTCTCTGACATTCTTTACCCTGTCTTCCTCTGGAACAGTCTTCAGTACCTCTCTTGAATTGACAGCTTGTGCTGCTCCTTCATCCTTTCTATCAAGGAAATCAGCTTCCATCAATCTCGTCACTCTTGCAGGGGTGATCTCCTCCTCTACTGATGTGTTATGTGCGAACAACATATCCTTGTTTACTGTCCTTAGCTCAGCAGGAATCTCACAGGCTGTCAATCGATGACTTACACCGACGGGATCATCCTCATAAGCATACTTGTGTTCATCTTCCTTCACAGTACCCAGGATGCTCCATCCAAGGTCCGTCCTTAGACCATACGGACCATTATCATCAGCAGGAGGGATGACATCTCTTTGTATGAGTGCCCTTGCACAGTCATATCCAATCAATAAACCAACTTCACAACTTTGCAGGGGCATGAGATGATGTGAAATCTTGGATAAGTGAGGAATTCTCATTGCCATCTCTGGAGTGGGTATGTGATCACGGTTTGCTGGTATAAACCCTCTGGTGTAGGTTGTCGGGAGAGCAATCCGTTGTTCTCCATCAAATGATCGGATGGTCAGACCCTCTATGCGTTCACTTGGTACTCTTTCATCCATAGCAGACATCGTTGAAAGAAGGAGACTGACAGGAACTCCCTGCAGATTCATCTCATCCTTGGTTTTCTCTAACATGAAAGTGGTGTCAGATTGGGTGTCTATTAATGCATACACCATTCGTTCATCTGATATGGTAGGATGAGATAACCAAACAGGAACTATCATCGTGCTCTTCATGGTGGTCAATCTACTAGTACCGGTAGGTTGCTGACTAAATGAAGCATGAGACCATGACGTCTGAGTTTCCATGGGTCTGTCTTCTACATTTGTCTCCGTCTTTGGTTCTGGTTTCTTCCTATCTTCATGGAGACAAGATGGATGTCTCCCTTGACAAATGATACAGGTACTTCTCCATCTACAATGCATGGACATGTGGCCTGCCTTCAAGCATCCATAGCATAGACCCTTCTCTCTTATGTACCTTTTACGATCTGTCATGTCCTTTGCTGCAAATTCACTGCATTCTTCTAGGAGGTGATCCTTCTTACACAGGTAGCAGGAGCGTTGAATATTTCTCCTCTCCCTCTGTCTCTTGTTGTCTGAATTGGAAGATGTAACATTGGTATTGAGAGTTCTAACATCTGGTACAGGCTTCAGGTGGTGTAGAGATGTGATTGGATAACATGCTATCTTAGCCTCTTCATCTATGAACCTCACAAATACTTGAAAGGGAGGAAACTGACCTTTCATCTCTGTCCATCCGATGACCTTACGTGACCATCTCATCACAAGCCAGTCTGGCAATTTGGCTAAGAGCTTCTGATTCTCCCTCTCATCGTTTAGGTGGTGTAGATTTCCAATCCTATCCATTGCAGTGACACATTGGTGGAGAAAATCAGCTAGCTTTCTTAGACCAAGTGCATCTTTCAAAGAAATCTTAGGCCATCTGTCTAGCTTGTCTCTGAAAGCATTTGCTATAATGAAAGAGTCTCCATACCTCTGCTTAAGAGCTGCCAGTGCTTCTAGATAAGCTCTCTCATCTCCAATGAGTGCATATCCTCTCACAAGTTCCAAGGGCTGGTCTTTGAGATACTTCTGCAAGTAGAAGAAACGATCCATAGGCTGTATACCGCTTTGTTCAATGAGAACATCAAATGCATGCTTCCATGCTGGGTAAGTCAATGGATCTCCTGCAAAGATTGCTGGTTCTGGTAAAGGAAGCCTCGTCATCCTCATCTGTTCAACCAGAAATCTCATCGTCTCAGCTTGAACGTTCTGCACACTGTCTAACTTGGGTTGACTAACTTGACTTACTGCTTCAACTTCTTCCTGGATGTCGTTTACCTGGATGTCGTTCACCCAGTCCTGGCAATCCTGTAGCTCCTGCGGTTCAACAGGATGAGACTTCTTCGACTTCTTAGATGAAGTTCGAGATGAGGGTCTAAGGGCTATCAATACATCAAGAGTCTGTTTCATGATGTTGTTGTGTGCTGTTTCGACCTCATCTAGCTTGTCATCACTGTTGTCTTCAATTTTCGCAGTTGCTCTAAGTGTAGCCAACTCTTCTTGGGTGTTTATCAGTTTGTCTACAGTACTTTGTAGAGCATCTCTAGTCTCCTGTACTGTCGACGCTTCGCTTTCATCACCAAGTAAAACTCGCAACTTGTTTGCGGTTCTATTCCAGGACTTAATGCAGCTGTCAAACTCTTTGGATTTAATTTCCACTTGCCATTGTAGTCCTTTCTCTGTGGGCTTGGGTTCACGATGGGGTCTACTTTCACCTTCAGTGTCAGCCATGATGTAATAGCTGTCTTTCAGTTGTCGTGGAGACGTCTAGACGTAAATGAAGTTTTTACTGTAGCGGAAGCATCTTTGACTTTGTTTATTGGTCTTTCTTTATTATTCCAATTCTCTTGTTGCTCCAAATGCTCCGTAAAAACTGTACAAATGAAAATAGATCGAACGGATCATAAATCAACAGTTCATGAATATACATATTATGCCTGGAGAAAACCTGGTGACTCGTATCAATAATATGCACCTTACAGCTAATTAACCCCTTGTTTTAGCTCTTTTCCTTATCTCACACATTAACTTGTACTGCATATAAACTAAACACAATTCTAACTGTTTGTTACTACCAGTACATATATGCTTAATTGAATTAAGTCAGACTTCTGACATACATCCTTTGTATCACTTCTGTTCATAATTACAGCATGTATCTTTATAACTAAACCATCTATTAACTATCAATATAAACTTGCATAAATCATATAACAACTTTCTCATATTATGCACCCTAAGTACTCATCTTAGTACATTGACTCAAACTAGGCAAATCTTTGTTTACATTCTTGCATACGTGTACCTTTCATTCGCATGCCGTAGTGTACATTACATAACAATAACATTCGGTATGTGAGCCGACCGTCTCGGCTACTGTGCAATGTAAGTTACATCCATGTAATGTACACAACGAGTTAGGTGCGAATGAAAGGTACTTAATCATAGAATATCGCATCATTACAGCATTTATATACAACATTCATCACATTGCATCATTACATACCTTCATTCTGCCTTCTTAAAGTGCATCTAACTTCCACATTACACAAGGATGCCTCCAATATCAACGGATTTCATCCACTGGAAATCAAAAAGGGTGCCATTTCTTTACACGAATTTAGTAGCCTCCAGATGGCGCTAAACATAAATATAATCAATCTACTTGATCGACTTAATAAAATGAATTCACATCGATCACTGAAACAACTATATTAAAGACGATCAGCTTGGTTGCATGTTGAAAATAACTTGACATAGGTCCTTGGCGATTGGATCTCAGATCATACTTATACTATATTATACCCCTTTCATAGTGCTTCTATCGGAGTCACACCGATGGAAATGCAGATTGAATTTTCCTAATGTAAACAAAGGTGAAACCGCCGCTAACCCTGCTGTCCCTTTCATACTGCCGGTGAAATTCAATCGCTGTGGCGAGCCCTGGCCGGAAGAGAAGAATGAAACAAACAAACGGTAGCGAAAGTTTACATGTGAAAATTTAGTGAAAGAAGGTGTGCGATAAACAGAATTCCATTGTACTTTAGTAATCAGTTTAAATATTGTTTTGTGCACCATTAGCTCTAATGAATACGTAATTTCCAATAAATTTATTATCATATTAACATAATATTAATGTTGATTTTTTTACAAAGCCTATCATTAATGTAAATTACAAATAAAACAAATCAATTTAAGCCCGCGCCCCATCTAGCTAGCATGCAGCATTTTCAACAAAATGTGATCAAGCACAGCTGGTTCTGAAAAGGCGCGCGTACACTGCGACCTTTGACCATTTTAATCACTGTTTTAATCGCTGTTTTCTCCCGAACCCATTCACAGTTGCTGTTTCATCAGAGTCACACAGATAGAATGAGAATTTCTCCTGCTCATAAGCAGGAGAATTTAATCGCCTATTTCTCTTCTTTTCATAGGCTATTCTATCGGCTTTCTTTCCTCTGTACCATTCATAGTGGCCGTTTCATTGGATGCGTGCGGATACATCCGATGAAAATCAGGCCAGTTTGAAAGGGGTAGTAGATGATTCAATGACTTTTGGGTCCACATTTTGAAACAGATTTTTTCTTGACTCAACTACTTTTGGTAGCCTATAGATCTACCCTTCCCCCCCCCCCCCACAACTCTCTCTCTCTCTCTCTCTCTCTCTCTCTTTCTTGCACCCCTCCTCTCTCTCTCTCTCTCTCTCTCTCTCACACTTTCTCTCTCCCTTGCTTGTATTGGCCTTGCTTGTTATGGGTTAGTATTTAAGCGGGACTGCACAACTTTTAGCTACTTGCGCCCTCTATACAGCCAACAATGCCTAAGTGGTACCTCTTGATCCCCCATGGTCCCTTTTTTCTTGTGTTAATTGAGAGCTGATTTGATGAGACAACCACCTGCCAGTTACCATGCAGTGAGGTCTAATCCCTCCTGGCCAAACTAGTGCAATTTGTAAAACTAGTTTGTCACTTGTAGAACTGTACAAATTAGTACACAAAGACAAAAGACTCATGCTATAGCTCTGTGTTGTAAAATGTTTTCTTGATAACCCAAAACAATAGCAACAACCACAAGACCCACTGTAATTGGATCTGTGTACGATTTCAAGGGCATGGGAAATAACCAGAATGACCCATTCACCTTGGATAGACCATCTGATGACCTGAGGTGACCCTGAGTCAGGTCACAGACAGATGACATTCCAATGTGTTTATTGAGATGACCCATGGGAAATGATGGACTATTTTCACTTATCAGTGAATCTGGGCAGATACATTTAATAGGCTTCAGTTACAGACTGTATTTAGATGCCGAGACACAATTCAAAGATAAAGCCTTGAGCCTAGCCTAAGGTCAGTCTGTGATGGTGTCAAATCATGGTCCATGGTCAAATAAAGACAGTGTGGTCTCTTGGCTGCAGTCCACTACTAGTCTGCGCTCGTTTGCAGGTACAAACTGTCATTGGACACTTAAACAGTTCCATATAATCCTGATTCAAGCCTTACTCAGTATTGAGCCTATAGAGTGACATAGGATGTGAAATCTACATAATCTCACAGTTCAGGCACAAGGGTTGGTGACTGGAAACTAAATTCATACCTTGAGTTATGAGTTACTACATGTAGTACATCTGAATGTATTTATGCCTGCTTTATGTAGACCTATGTGCTTCCTCAGTAAAGCATGACTTTGCTGAGTATTGACAGTATTAATGAGTGGACCAATTGACAGAATAACTGTTCAAGAATTAAACAGAGAAAAGGGAGAGAATAAACCTTTGTTGTGTATTTCTTTCTAAATGTTCAATCGGTTCAATATCCTTATCAATAGTTTAGGCCTATTTAAGGTAGCATCAAGATGGTATAAACTCTTTGAGGCCCCCATTTTGTTTGATTCAGGCCTAGAATAGAATGATATATACACAACAAACATTTGTTGGAGAAAAAAATTACTCTTATTGTTGAATATTAAACAAGGTACTGATAGATAAGAGGCAAATTTCTGGTGAATAAAGTACCACTTTTCCCTTTATTTGTAACTGTTTTTTTAATGCTATAAGGTACTGAGGGATAATTGGAAAATGTGCCCATTTCCATTTTATATATACCCCCTTTCAATTGTTTACACAGTGGCTTTTAGGTAAACTGCCTTTTCGTTTTATTTCAAGTTATACCAGTAGGTACTTTCTACTTATTGTGACACTTGTTTTCACTGTTTGTTGCCTTTAAAAGTTGAATTTCAGGTGAACAGGAATCATAATTTTGAATCATGCTGTGACTCAGCGTCAGCTGTTAGGTCATGTGACCTCTGTCATGTGCATCATATTGTGATCAAGATGGCCAAACTCCAAAATAATTTCTTGACTACCCCCCCCCCCCCCCCACAAAAAGACTAAAATATTTCTTGCGAAGCGTATTTCACTTTCTCCTCTTTTCTGTCTTCACATCATTGTGTATAGCATCAAGATTTGCCAATAATTCCTGATTCTTATCAATTCTATTTTATTAAATTCCTTTCTACACTTTTGCTCATAAAATTAAAATTATTCTTTCTTACCACTTTTTGTCAAGTCATTGTTAATATGATATGTTATATTCTTGATATCTTTGAACTTTATTGATCATTCTCTGACTCTTTAGATTAATCAATAATGTTCCAATAAGATGTAAACCCTTTTTATCAAGAAATGATCACAAGGTCTTCAGAGGTAAGAGAAAAATTATTCCAACTTTATGGGCAACAGCGTATTCCTCTTTATCTCTCCCGTTCTCTCTCTTACTGCCACCCCCCCCCCCCTCAGTTTCTCTCTTCCCTTCTATTGCTGTCTTAGTGCTTTCATTAATGCCTCATTGAAATTTATTGTTGAGTGATTTCATACCACAGTAAATCATTGAGTGCACTTGTTGGAGTTATATGCAATGGTCACACTACCTTGATGCATCTCTCTCTTGATAAAAAAAATTAATTGAAATATAAGAACATTACAATGATGCAAATACAGTTTCTATGGATTTTACAAAAGTGTACCGGTACTGATATTGCGCTTAATTAGTTGATTTGTCAAAAGCTTTTATGAACAAGTTCTAACTTAACTTCTTATAGGTATTGTATTAGTCATTGCCAAGGGTTTCCTTCTTACTAGAGTTAGCTTGTGTTGTGTCATCATGATGACAGTCTCACTGCATTGACGACCTTGGCAATGCCTTGTTAGCATTAGCGTTCTTCCTATTCCAATTTTTCTTCCTGATCTTCTCCCCCCCCCCCCCCCAAAAAAAAAAATCCTATTTGTTTTGCATGCAGTGCCTGTGTGCAGTTTCTAGATCCCTTCCTCTATCCTGATTCCTTTTACACAGCTCTGTAAGCATATAGTCTTCAGCATCCCATCATATGCACTCACTCATGCATGACCGTCCAGGCGCTGTTTTGTAAATTTCGGATCCATTTGCCTTTTTTTTGGCGTACCTTTATGTCCACTGACTATCAAAGATGAAACAGATTTCTAAATAACCTGCCCTATAAAATGCCATCTTCATATTCACAATTTAAATCAGAAATGGAAATTGCTGAATTGCTGATATAATAAATATGATAGGCAGTTCTAGTTTGATATGTTATCATCATTGTTTCTAATGGGTTTAGCTGATCAAAAATAGATGTTGTTAGAAAGGGGAAGACCAGATGCTATATAGGGGTTCATGTTATGCCACTTAACCGATCCATGTTTGGTCATAGGTAAGAAAGTGTCTCATTTCCCATGTGTATCTCTCCTCTTTGTATGGTTCTTTGTATCAGGTATTAGCTTCATTGTCAATTCTTCTCACTAGAGCTTGTATGGTATCATCATGGTGACAAACTTATTGGATGTATGTTATCATCATTGTTCATAATGGGTTTAGCTGATCAATGGTATATAGCATGAAGGGAGGGGTGGGGGGGGGGGAGAGATGAGTGAATAGTATTGTTTGACCAGATACTACGGGGGTTCTCATTATACCACTTAGCTGATTTGGGTTTGGTCTCAGTTGATTAGGCTTGGGTTCCTTAACCAATTATCACATTTAGTCATTTATTATGTGCGATGAAAATACATTGTCTAGTAACATTCTTATGACATGCATGTACCTGTCAATCAAACCCATTTGGACCGATAATTATATTCATAGTAGGGATCTTGTGGCAGAGTAGCCTTGTGAATTCTCCAATTAAGCAATCTACTGCCGTTAAGATATGTATATTTAATTCATTACTAGGATATTTTTTATACTATGACCTATTTATCAGGTATATTATTTTATCAATATGGTTTATTAATGAAGAAATATGTTTCTTAGTTTTTAACTTGTCACATTATTCATTCTGCTATCTGTCTTTGTTCTGAAATGAATACTGCAACACGTACACCACTTTATAGACACTTTACAGACACTTCACTTTAGTCATTTATTTATGTTCTTTAAATGCAGTTTCAAAACATCAGTAACTTACCAAATACTTTATTAACGGGTATACAATTTAAATTTCAAATTCAAGATTGATTATCTATTTTTATGCGTATGGTAGGACTTACAGACTAGTTGAAAGTTATCTCGATTTTATTTGGTCCTGCTCCTTTCCCATAATTTAACTGCCTCCTTTTTTAATCTATTCATGAAATAGAGAAATCCTGGGGAAATCAAGATAATTTACATCCAAAAGTCAATATATATATATTC